TGTCGCTGTTTCATTTTATTTTAGTTTCTGTAAACAGTTTCTTCTTTTTTCATTATTCTAAAAATATCTGACAGGAAACGTACCTTGCACATTTGAAAAACACCTTGGTTTAGAACTTCAACTTATGAAAATATTCATAAAGCTGGGCGTGGCTCAGGAGTTAGAGTGCCAGACTGGCGGGGTCATGATTCATATTTCGTTACGGCAAATAGACTCCGTTGGTGTTCTATACCAGTGAAGGTTAAAACCCGCCATTTGATTAGAGTAGCCCAATAATTGCTGGTGGATGCTGGTGCACAGTTAGTTTCCCTCAAACCTATTACTTAAAGTCCCAGAGTGACTCAGCGGTAAGTCTGCAGCTTTACGACGCTAAAAATTGGGTTTCGATATTCCTAGTGGTGGGCAAAGCAAAGACAGCCCACTGTGTAGCTTTGCGCTTAACAACAACCAAACCAAATCATTTGAAAGAAGGAACAGTTATGCGCAAATAGCCGCGGTGTATTTTTACGCGAAAATTCTTAAACAAACATATCCATTGCTTAAATAAAGGATTTCACGATTTAATGTTCTGGGGAATTATTTAATCTAGTTAAAACTCAATAGACAAAGATTTTTCTTTCAGACATTGATATTAAAACAAACAAGTCAGTAACCTGATGTTAAGTGTGTTAAACGAATAATTCTAAACGTGGGCGAGATGTATGAACAAATTATTATTTAAAGAATACTGTTACCTAAGGCTGCTGTAAAGTTTGTTTTGATTACTCTTTGTTTGCAACACTTCAAGAACTACAGAAGTAACTCAATTTGAGTTAAGCGTAATGATATAAGAATTTGCAAACTGAAAAATTCTTTATAAAAGTTCGTCGGCGGGTCAAAGGTTCGTTTACGGAATTAAAAATAGGTATCATTATAACAGATTAACACAAACATTAATACATCAAAAGTAAAATGCGTGTATGCTTTTTCTTTTGCGATTCAGGTGAAAAATATTCAATCTTTTATTTTATTTCTATATAGTGCTAGTGCTTTTGAGTCAACTTTCTGAATAAACTGAAAATAGTTGAATTTAATTAAACTTTCCCGCTAACGAACAAACAGACCGGTTTTTGTTGCTTTCAGTCGTGATTACAGCTATAAATTAGAATTTAATTAATATTGATATTCCCTAATGGTCTTTACATATATGTGTGTTTACTATGAGTTCCGAGTAGTAATGAATAACATTGTTCTAAGCGTTTGGAATTTAAAAGCTTCATTAGAGAATGGAGGGAAGATAAAACAGGAAATTAAATCCTGTGCGTGAAAATTTATTCATTGATACGGACTTGGTATATTTCGTTAATTCCTCATTGCCCCTTTTTAAACTTTCTAAGGATCTTTTAAGAAAATGATATTCTCCAGTTCCAAAACGCTTCGCTCACAAATGTGTTGCAAAGCAAGAAAAACTAATGAACGTTACATACAAAACCGTCTTATACATTTGCTTTAAAGGGCACAGCAGTAGTTTTTTTTTCTCTTCCAGGTTTCTATTAAATATAACATTCTACTTAATCCAACGTTCGTTTCTCCCTTTTTTATTTTCATTTTGAAATATTAATTCTTTGCATATATATGAACACATCACTTAAGAATAACGACGATGATTGCTTCAGTTATTCAGTTTACCAGCATGTGGTATTAACTTGGCTCTTGACTATTTATTATATTGCTTATGTGCAACTGCCTCGTATATTCAACTTTGGCGTTCCCTCTTCGGGGATTCATATAATATGAAAAAAATATTTTAGTTCTTTCTCTAATTTTAAACTTTTAAATAAATTAATCCCTTTGAAATATCCAGCAAGTCCATAAACTCAGAAATTATATCATATTTGCATATATATTTCATGCTCGAAAAATCTTTCGCTTATTTATTGTTTAGATAAATAAATAAAGTAAATATGGAAGGAATTTCATAATAATGATCAGGGAGGTATCAATATTGCATATATAAATATAAGATCAGCTTTATATTCCACAAATCTGAATCTGTGTTTTTGGGCTTACTCTAAGTAAATTTATTCAAAATATTGTATTTGAATGTTAACAGCATTATAGATCTTATCAAAAATCATAAGGATAAATATATCATTTTCAACAAAAAATGTTTGCTGGAGAAATGGAAGAATTTCTTTTTAAAAACGACTCTTGTACTTTTAAACTTCAGACAACTTTTCCTTTTTAAGTGTGTAAATGCCATGTATATCTTTTATATTTGTGTTAATTTGTATACGCTATTTTATGCACACAAAATTGAAGCAGTAGAATAAATTACAGTATTTTCTATCCGCCAAAGTGGAACTTTAAGTATTGATTTGTGTGTTTTGGATCCATATAGTGCAGTTATTTTTTTATTCATATGTACATGCATTAGCTGTGTAAGTATGTAATTAACGATGTGTCGTAATCCTAATACATTAATGGTTTTTATAATGTAATTAATTATTGCAAGATTAATAACAAGTCACATTTTTGCAGATTTTACTTGGTCAACATGACACAAAAAATGTATGAAAGAGAACAAAGTGCTATCGTGGTAAGTGTCAAATGGCATTTGTATTAATTTATGTCGAGAATAATTCATCAGATTCATATTAAAGCCATTACTTCATTCTATTTCTTGTTTGCATATTAATGTTCACACGACCTAATTAACTAATTTCAAAGTCTTTGTTTTAATATTATTTTAATCGAACTCACATATATCACTTATAAAATAAACTTCTAAATGTATGAAAATAAATCCAAACACAATACATGTAATATTAGTAAACTATATTAAAATGAATAGTTTTCAAAGTTTCGAAATACCACCATACTGTGATATATAATTTTTGTTCTTGTTGTTATTTGTTTAAAGTTGTGAGAGTTGCTTTTAAATAGTTCGTTAATACTAAACGAACACATTTATAAATCAAATGTACTGGAAAAAAAGTAGAGGTATGCTATGGTTTATTTCGTTTTCAAAGTCACATATTCCAGGTGCCATAACAACAAGATATTTATTCTTTCATCAACACCAGTGAAAACAATGGGTCCATCATGTTTTTTGTCTGGTGTGGTGTGGATTATAGAGCAACTCTGTGTTTTACTCTCATTGAGGAATCATCTCAATATTCCAAGTCACATCCTTTATTTCCCTGAAAAGTTGTGCTGTCATATTTCCCTATTTAGATCGAAAGGTGTTATTACTTACATCTCCTGATCTTATCCTTCTCACAGTGAAAACATCTAACCAAGTATCAATATCGGATGTGTAGTTATACCTTCTAGATTTTTGAAGTTCATCAACCATTTCAGTGGTGTATGGTCTACTCCAATGGTGAATTCCTTACCATAAGTCTTTGCAGTAATATCTAACAGATGATACTACAGATAGAAGAAGTACTTTCTTTATCATAAAGTATCATCATTCAGAAGCAGTTAGCATATGACTCACATACATGGTTAAATGCTTAATGCCATCCTATACCTGCAACAAAACCACTCCAGTTTCATTGTAGACAGTGGTTCTACAATCTTAGCCATAAACCCACAATAATAAATGTGAAACCTAGAAAGCTTCATTCTTCTCACTTAATCTTAGGCTGAGACCAATCCTTAGACACTCACTGTAAGCTTTGCAGTATCAGTGGACATGTTATCCCTGCTCACTGGGATATATGATGACAAAACCTTGTCGAAACGTTGTACATTTGCTGTTATGTTAAACTTATATTAAATTTTATCTTCATTACCTATTCAAGCCGTCTCCAACCATTATTAGTCTCAAAGTGGGTTCCTCGTCATCGAATTTGAAGGACTAGTATGTTATTCACAAAATATAAGGCATCTCTACTGTTGCAGTCTCCTAAGTGTAAGCTCCACCAGCCTCTTGTAAATGGCAGGCAAATTACACAGACTAAACAACATTACACAGAATTTAGGCCTACTTTATCATTCAGTTCAACTAGTCAGTACACATAAGCCCGAATTTGTGTGTTGAATGAATCAATGGCTACGTTCCAGTGCATCCAGATATTCATCTGTGCATGGAAGATAAAAGACAATAATGCGTGTTACCATATTCGCCTGTCTTCTTTCTTTCTGCAAATCACTACTAAAGTGACTAGTTATTCTCCAATGGCTGTATTATCCCGTCATTCAACAGCCACTCTATTTCAGTGCTGCAAACATATACAACATCCATGGAAACGTGCACAGTGTTTGTTTTATCAGACGTGCATCATCTATGTCTATTTGATTATGTGTGATTGTTGTCCTGCTTTATCTGTCATCTGGTCCAATAAACACATCACCAAACTTCTTGAGCAGTTGACTGAGTTCGCTTCTCTGTCTTGATTTCAGACTTATAGCACAGTTCTGTACAACAGACTTCAAACATGGCACAGCGGGTGCAGTGCTGGCTACCTTGCTTGTTTGAGTAATTTCCGTACATTACTGCGACGATGGCTATTCCATCTAAGAGCTAAACAGCTCATGTCCGTAGTTACACCCTAACTATAGTAAACCATGTTCAAACAGATCATTGCTCAAGCAAGGGTAGCCTGTTTTCTAGACGGTCCGATCATGGCCGAGTGAGTGATTAGCGTGTTGAACTGTGAAGCTAAGGGTCCATGGTTTACGTTCCCTTGCAACAATCCAATCCAATCGTGGTAGTAATTTAGGTTAGAGAATATTTCATTCCCCAAGAGCGGTCAGAAACTTTTCTTTCTCTTCACCCCGCTTCATGAAATAGAATTTAGTAGCGCTAGATTTTTAATGGTTCTAAGGTATACGAGAGTAAAAATTTAATCTTTTTTTTATTTTCCTAATGATGACGTCATAAGAAGTAGGGAGAGCTGTGAGGAGACATGGAAAAGAAGAGTGAGGAGGAAGTCTCTTCATCATCACAGTAAGTGTTTGAAAGACTTTCTTCCCCTTCGTTTCGTTCTTGGTTCATTTTGTTTGTGTCTGTGGATATTTTGTTCTCTTGTTTTTAGGAAGAAGAAGAGGAGATTGACATTTATTTCTTAGAAAATTGCGTTTTAGATATATTTTGTATGATTGTTTGCAACAAAAAAGTACTTGGCATTTTATGGTCTTTAGTGCATTGTAATAATAATAACTATCAAATCTAAGTATTTGATTAGAAGAGCCCAAGGGTTGGCATCGGATACTGCTGACTAACTGCTTTCCCTCTAGTCTATCAAATTAACATTAGGAACAACTAGCTCGTACACCTCTTTTCTGGTCCTGCTTGAATTTCCTAAACAAATAAATAAAGCATTCCAGACAGTAAACATGTTTGCTTCGTGCGTCTATTCTATCAAAGCATGGTGATATGGTGCAGTCTGTCAGTATGGATAGTGGCATTGTAGTATGTAACTTTATCTAAGATAAAAGATTAACGAGATTTTACGACCTTTCCGTCCGGTTTACAAAGATAACGCTAACTATATGCAGAATGCCTGCACGAAGAAATAAATTACTTGAATTTCCCCGAACAAAGATATATTCTATACTAGTTATGGGATAGCGAAGTTAGCATTTATTCCAACTTCAAGAAAAATACAGTTGCTTAACATAATATCCAACATTCCGGATATTCAAACATCTAAGATACATAACTAATAGAATTGAAAGTCAGTTAGTGAATTAATCGGAAAGTAAATTCAACACAGTTCCTGGAAAAGCGCTCTTTTTCCCCCATTTTCTAAAAAGTATAACAATTCTGTGAGTTTGTTTGTTGTTAAACACTATGGACTATCTATGCTCTGCCCACCACGGGTATTTAAACCCGTGTTTCAGCCACACCGAGAGTGCATTAATACATGACTAAATGAAAGTGTAAAACGTACAATGGTGTTGAATTTAAAAAGTGTTAGTACAATGTAATTTAAAATGCAATATTGTCGTCGTATGTTTTAGCGTGAATGGTTTTATTGAATGCTATAAAAACAACACAGTTACTGTGGGCTAATAAAACAGAACACGAATGTGTTAATTGATGTACATTCTCTTTGTACTGAAATTCGTACATTCTACATAAACATGATAAAAATGGGTCTTCACAGCATAACAATGTATTTAGAACAAAAGGCTTGAATGTATGTTAAATCGCTACAGTAATTAATAGTGTTACTGTGCACACAAATTTGTGATTGGAGAACACAAGTTATATTGTTGTGAAGTAACACAGTGTTTGTGTCAACTTACAGCACAATAATTTCACTCTGATGTTAACTTCCGGACGCGACATTTCGCGTAAATCCGCTTATTGCATCTGTTTATGTGTAGAAACAAGTTGAGTTACAGAGAAAATGTAGCAATTAACGTTTCGTTAAACTACACGCATTTCTTCGCTTGATTATGAAACATTAAATCTATGCAACTAACCGAAAAATATAGAAAGAAAACATACACAGTAATAATATTTCGCTTAACGTTGGATTAACTCAGTTGTTTCGTAACCCCCAAATCAGCTCTTTATTACGACATTAAGATATCTGGCTTGCTACATCGAAGCATTCTATTGCCGATTTAGCTTTACAGGTGCTAAAATTTGTTATCCCTTCGGAACTTGTCATAAAATGGTGTAAGTACCAGAAATATATAACGGTTGTAAAATGGTGTTGTAAATCTGCCAGTGCCGCCAGCGTTATTTAATTAAGTAATGTCCGCTTGTGACAGATTGTTTTGGTTTGTTATGAATTTCGCGCAAAATTACACGAGGGCTATCTGTGCTAGCCGTCCCTAATTTAGTAGTGTAAGACTAGAGGGGAGGCAGCTAATCACACCACCCGCCACCAACTCTTGGGCTACTCTTTTATCAACGAATAGTGGGATTGACCGTCACATTATAACGTCCCATGGCTGAAAGGGCGAGCATATTTGGTATGACGGGGAGTCGAACCTGTGATATATAAAAGTAGTTTCTAGGTCTATATAAATGCTGTCGGTGATGTCATTCCATAATGACATTTCTAAAAACACAAAAACGTTGCTTTTGATTCTACTTCCCGTTAAATTCACGCATATTAGCATAAAATTCATAAGTAAATAAAGACATATGTACATCATAGACTTGCAATGAATATTTTGAGCCACACAACGCTTTAAACACAAAAGTACTTTGCTTCTAACCCATACTAACAAGGGTTATCTACAAATATTTTTTCGCATACTATCCATGTTTCAATCTTTTTAGGCCTAACAATATAGTATGTCAAAAACAACACTTGTTAGACAGATATAGATGTTTATATAGAGAGGTTATTTATTATATACCAAAACAAATCATATCCAATAATTACAAAACAAAGACAACAAAAGTACTTAGTATTGAATAGAAACCTTAATTTATAGCAAACTGTCCATGTTAACCTCACAGACAAGACAACTGAAAAAACACGGAGTAAACTATAATAAGATATCTGGTATATCACAACTAATTATTTCACATTGCGAATTAAATACTGAGAGTAAGAGAACTTTTAACAAGGCTTAGCTATTATTCACAAGCCAATTTAAATTTAAATCTGACTCTTACAGGAACGGAACATACCTCAGTGGTTAGTGTGCTCGAAACGAGAATCCGGGGGTTTATAGTTCACGGTCATTTTTAGAAAAAAAAAGCATTATACACTTTGGAGCCACAGGAGCACCATAAAAATGTTATAATAAGAGTGACGGTCTACTTCTAATCGATCAGTTTGAGAATCCCTGCTCTAGTCTATCAGTTCCAAATTAGGAACGGCTATGCGCAGCCCTTGCGTAACTTTCTGCAAAATTTAGGCCTGCAAAACGCCCATAAAATATTAATTTTTGTTATTTCCCTCAGTGTATCACTGGTAAAGCCTGGCGGTTAGAACGATCGACTCGCAATCTGGGTGTCTGGGATCGAAACCCGACCTCGAACATGCACGGCTTTTCAGCCGTGAAAGAATTACAATGTGACAGGTAATCCCACTTGTCGTTGGTAAAAGAGTAATCCATAGGTTGAGGATGAGTGGTATTGACTAATTCTTCCTTCTACTCTAATGGCCCGGCATGGCCTAGTGGTTAGCGCCCTCGACTCACAATCTGAGTGTCGTGGATTCGAATCCCCGTCCCATCAAATATGCTCGCCCTTTCAGCCGTGGGGACGATATAATGTGACGGTCAATCCCACTATTCGTTGGTAAAAGAGTAGCCCAAGAGTTGGCAGTGGTTAGTAATGACTAGCTGCCTTCCTTCTAGTCTTACACTACTAAATTAGGGGACGGCTAGCGCAGATAGCCATCGTGTAGCTTTGCTCAAAATTTAAAAAACAAACAAACCCTCTAGTCTATCACTTCGAAATTGTATACGGCTAGCACAGATAGCCCGCGGGCAACAACAAACAAAACTAATTCTTTGAGTGGACTTTGAAACCAGGAATTACGTCGTTTTTTGTTTTTTTTCAATTCTGATTTATTTCTGCTATTTATTCAAGTAACATATTTTCGTAAAATAAAAAGTTCCAATCGTATATTATAATATTCTAGGCAATTCTTGAAGAATTACAAAACATTTAAATAATAGAAAAAAAAAGAAGTATTACTGTGAAAATATATTGTTTTCTTTACGACGTCTGTGAGTCGAACATTAAAAAAAATCTTGATAAGTCGTGCCCAGATTGGTATGTAAAGTAGGAAAGATTAATGTGAACCACCACTGTTAAATGGGTGAGAACCTAAAGCTGCCCGATTCTCTTAGACCGAGGGTGGAGCTTATCTCCTATTTGAATAGCGATAAGATATGGGCGAATGCACTCTTGGGATGAGTTGTACGAAGTCCACATTAAATCCAACTGGCACGCCTAGGGATTCATTGTGGAAATGTCCTTGCTGAAATATGGATCAATTCATTTTCTATCTGCAATGCTTGCTGACAGCAGAGGTGAGAACAACACGAGGGAGATTTAGATGTAACTTGAAACCTTAACATTGCTATTTAATTCTTTACCTCACCTCAAGCATAGTTTAAAACATTAAATGCAGTTACTATTTTTCTTTCTAATTAATGCCCCCCAGTGGCACAGCGGTATGTCTGCGGACTTACAATGCTAGAAATCGGGTTTCGATACCCGTGGTGGGTAGAGCACAGATAGCCCATTGTGTAGCTTTGTGTATAAATTCAAAACAAACAAACAAACTTTCCAATTAATGCATTCAGTTCTTACACACACAAAGATTTACTATGGTCAATTAAAACAGTAATTACAGAATGGGTTATTCATACTTAAAAAACAACAACAACTAATAATCTAGCTGTTTCATGTTTACAATACCGTTCTGTATTATATCTGATAAACATTTTATCTTCAATATGTATTAAACAATCGGATTTTAAATACTTTTGATTTATACCTATGTGACAAATACAAAGAAAAATCACGAACGTGAAAGATCGCACTAGCAGGAGGTCAACGGGATTTGGTCAGTATGTTAGAGAGTTTTTTGGCAGCAGGTTAAATGACTTACGTAGACAATAATTAAGTTACACAAAATAAAACAAATGCTTAATTACAATGAATACTTTATACATGAATACAGACAAATAAGGTTAAAACACAAACACACAAAAATATAAAACTGTTATACTTTTATACAGGACTGGAAATCCTTTAATTATGTACAAAACATAGTTGTCAAACGCAGTCAGGCTCTTTTGCGTACAGAACAAATATGAATGCCAAGAGTCCTAGTAGCCTGAAATATGTTGTTACTTCTCCTAGTTAAGCCTAGTCACAATGAAGCAAGTCCGGTTGAGGCAGCTTCATTATTCCAAGTAACGGGCAGGTCAATAACGTCATAAAGTCACTTGGTGGTCAAGAGACAACCTAGACTGGAAGGAACGTGAAAGGCAACGCACCTAAAGTCACGTTTACAGGTAAGCGAGGGTGGTTTCTTAGACATAT